GTCTTTGCTTCTTCTTCTTAATTGATTCCTGATTAGAGCTGCCAACCTTGTAGGGTTTATCGGGGCCAAGTGCATTATTTGCAACCAAATCTGGTTGTTCATTCTGGGATTAAGAGATTTCGGAACTAGGCGACCAGGTTGTTTTTCTTGGATAAGTATGTATCCTGTTTATCCGTTCATGGACTGTTACCCTTATCTGACGAATCAAATGCCTTCTCCACCCCATCGTAGTCATCATCATCACCCAAGATTTGAGCCTATTCCTGGTCACATGAAAGCAGATTTTGAAAATTGTCCTCCACACTATCAATCTTGGCTTTCTGGGGGAAACTATGCGTACCCATATCCTGCACAATGTCATAGCTGCTGTGACCATAACTACTTTCCAGCCTACTGTGCTCTGAGGCCTCCTTATGCCCATGCTCCACCTCTTTACTGCCATGGCAATTATACTATACCTCCAGCGTCCTATCCTGTTCACTACATTCCTCCTCCTAATAATACAATGGAACCACCACGTTATAAGTACCATAGTGAGATGCCTGGAGAGAGTCGTTGCTGCGGTTGTCCAAATCATACACACAATTCAACACCAGGAAAGAATGTCAAGATTGAGGAAGAAGATCCTGATATAGAAAAGATGGCAAATAATGCCGTGGTTCCTTTTGACTTGAAGAGTTATCCATATCCAGTTATGTGGATTCCACCAAGTTATATGATGAATGAAGCAATTAATAAGGCAAATGAAGCACAACCTGAAGTGAAGGAAAAGTATTCTGGTGTTGCTAGAGCTGATGAGTCATCAAAACCTTCAGACCAGCAGCTAAAGTGGCTAAATGGATGGTTCCCTTTTGACATGGAAAACTCTAAATTGGCAAAGCAAGGCAATGACTCAACCTGGAAGCAACAACATCAAGATGAAAGTAAGCGTCAATTGTCTTTTCCTTTATTCTGGATGCCTTGGAGTCCAGAAGAAATGAAAAGGAAGGACAGTGGCAAAACCAATTTTGGTGAAGAATCTGCAGAGGGAGTATCACCCCGGTTGGAGGTCACTCCAGTGATGATTCCTGATGCTGATGAGAAGGCAAGTAAACCGGATGTCACTAAGGAGATTCATAATCGCGAATGCTCAAAAGCTCCAGAGAAAAACAGTGGTCAAAAGACGGTTCCGGTCAAGTCAGCAGAACCTACTGAGGAAAAGAAAAACCTGGAAAACAATAAGGAGAAAGTAAAAAGTTCATTGGCAAAAAATCTGAATGTTACTGATGAAAGAATATCGTCTCAAACTTCTCCTACAAGCGAGTCATCTTCTCCGATGAAGTCATCAAAATTACCTCCTATTTGTCTGAGAGTCGATCCTTTGCGTAAGAAGAATAAAAATAATGGAGGTTCAGGGTCCCCTAGTCCTCCTGGTGACGAAGGGAAATTGCGCAAGTTGTCTAAGGACAGCACTCAGCTACCTAGCTCATCCACTACGAAGGAAAGTACTGAAAAAGACATGACAGTCGGAAAGAGTATGCCAGAAACAGCCAAGAAGCTGGAGCAAGGTAAGCAGAAAGTGAAAATGATTGAAGTAACTGACAGACAAAACAGACAAGAACCGGCTGAATATTTGAGCATCTCTGATCCTCATGGGAGAAGTTTGTCAGATAATTCCCATGATGCAGAACTGGTACACCAAACCAATGATAATTCTGAAGAACTATTCCCTGATGTGGCTGCCAGTGAGGTGGATTTGAAGAGTTCAGCTGAGAGCAAAAATGATCTAGGAGCAGTACAGGTTAAATCATTTGATTCCATATGTCAGTCGGATGAGGATAAAGAAAACTCCAAGGTGCATGAGAGTTCTGCTGACGAACCAAAGGGGTTTGCAAAAATTAGGTTGTCAGAAGTTGAAGCAGCTCTTATTATACAGTCAGCTTATCGTGGGTATGAAGTGCGTAGACGGGAACCATTAAAAAAGTTGAAACAAATTGCCAATATCAAGGAGGAGGTTTTTACTTTGAACAATCTCATAAAGGCCTTGGAGTCGTGTTCTTATACTGGGGAAAATGACAAGTTGAGAACCATGCTTAGAGAGACTATAATGAACCTTCTGCTAAAGCTGGATGCAATTCAGGTAAGCATAAAAACTGTGCAAGTTATATATTAATAGGTTTACAACATTTGCTTGCTGTGCAATTTATATCGGGTTTTCTGTCTAAATGTCATTTTGTGACGTCTTGGACATTTTCCAGAAATGTCTATATGTTGAAGTTTCATTGACATTTTCTTAAGGTATTGGCGCTGATTTTTATTCGTAATGCTGCATGTTTTGCACAAGTATAAAGGGGCCCAGGCCGCCTTAAGCTGGTACAGAAGGGGTGAGGCAAATCCTTGATAAGATAATAAGCTTTATGGTTACATAAGCACTGTCATTGGATATGTGTGTCAAGAAATGTATGCTGACATGATTGCTTTGTGAAAAGTTGTAGGAATAAGTGAACGAGTCTAGACTTTTTGGTTAGGTAATTTTTAGTTCTCCTTGGAGATTCATCCATTTCACACCATTTTACCTTGCTACTCACACCTTGTTTCCTGGTTGTCCATTAGTTATTAATGTGGTTGAATTTTGTAAATCAGTAACTCACTTAATCTTTCTATTTCAGGGCTTGCACCCAAGCATTAGAGATGTTAGGAAATCAGTGGTGCGAGAACTTGTGAGCCTACAGGAGAAGCTTGATCATGTAAGCCTCGAGAGATCTGAAAGTGCACATAAGCTAAGTTCAAGTGCTCAGCCTCATGAAGATATGCAATTAATTGATAATCGATGCTTCCAAGAAGGAGAAGAAGCAGAAAAAGCTTTCCTCGAAAGTAGTCTATCCAAAGCTGAAGATGTGCATGAGATTTATCCAGAAGAGCTCTGTAAAGGTGTGGCCCCTCCAGTGCTGGACATTGCATCCGACACTAGAAATTTGGAGATCCCAGAGACGGTAATGAATAAGGAGGATTTGAACAATGGTGCGCAGGTACCCATTACAGATTTATTAAAGATTGATACAACACAAAAAAGTGAAACAGGATGCCTACCTGACAATAGGGCTAGAGATGATTCGCTGAATCTGGTATGCAATGACGGTGAAAGATGGTCCTCTGAGTTTCAACCTCAACCTTTTTCCGAAGAGGTGAACCATCCTTGGGTTGGAGGAGGAGGAGCCTTCGTGACAGATGAGGTTCCCAATATCAAGCAACTAGCAGAGTTGCCGAAAGGAGTACTCGAGTCTGATACTATGTCACAAGACGATAGTCTTCTGCTGTCCGAAGCAGTGGATGACAAAGCTCTGCAAGATGGAGAGGTAATGGAGGATAATTTACATTTAAAGGAGTTAACAGAGTTGCCACAAGCAGTGCCTGATGATGACGTTGACAAGTCCCGAAAGCACGTGATTCTTGACAAGGAGGATGACAAATTCGTGAAAGATGACGTGACCAGGGATATTAATGCAGAGGTACCTGATGAGGAGGTTCTAAATATGGATCAAGCAGAGCAGTGGCAGGAGCCTATGGTCAAGAAGACGGTCACTTCCAAATCTAATGTAACTTTGGCATGTCATGAAAATCTGGACAACAACATGGAGCTCTGTAAGAAGGTGGATTTGAAATCACAGGAATTTCCAGTGCAAGCTCTAGAAGAGGACAAGAGCTGTGTTTCTGAACTGGGGGATATCTCTGAGATGCATGATCAAGTTGTACTAGAGATGGATGCCAATGTTTTAGGTAGTTACATGAATGACTTGCACACGTGCTCTGCAGAGATGGAAAGGGAAGAGCTCACTACTTCAACTAAGCCTGTAGAAGTTTATAAAGCTGAGGAAGAGGTTCTGCAGGAGCTTGCTGCCATGGAAACTGAAGCTGAAACTGAAAATGAGTCTTCAAAGGAAAATGGGGTTGCTGAAAACTACTACTCTTCAAGTTGCGAAGATGCAATAGCTGTAGCTCAAGCGTGTGATGCTCCTAAGGTACTTACCAAATCATGGAATGATGTAAGTACTGAACAGAAGCTGCTAGATGAGAGAATTGGTGTGGAGGCATCTGGATTAGGTATGGTAGATAACAAATTCTTTGCGCAGGATTGTGACTCTGCTGTTTTGGAACAAGATCTTGTAGATCAGATGATGTCTGTTCCACCGGATGCAAAGGAAACAGAGGAAGGAGAGGTTCCTCCATCATCGCCAACTGCCAGCCAGATTTCTCTTGGGAGTAATGGATCCACAGAACATGAAAGAAAGCTGGTTGAAGAAAATGACAAGCTGCGGGAGATGATGCAGAAACTAATTGAAGCAGGACAACAGCAATTGACTGCAATTTCCAACCTTTCTGGAAGAGTCAAAGATCTGGAGAAGAAATTGTCTAGGAAAAAGAAATTGAAGATGAGACGACATGTACAACTCGATATACATCTGGACCGTCTTGTTTGAAACCATATAATGATCCTTTGAATGAGAAAGCTGTCCCGCTTGCAATGTAGATGTGGTTCATGCCAAGTCAGTAGAGTGGCAATCACTGTATTTGAATTGTGTGTAAAAGTTCATATATCAAGTACAACAAAGCCTGTGTTTTGCTTTTTCTACTAATCTTGAAGTCTATACTATGATACCACCCAATTCCCTGGTGCTGAAGTTTTCAGGTTCTCTTAGTAGCAAGTTTTTTCCCAGTTCAATTCTAGTTCTAATTCACACACACAGTAGAAATCGAATTGTAATTTTACTTGCAATTTCTACTGCCATGGGAAACAGAAACACCTTAAGAAACAAATTAGTAACTCAGCGCGTTGGGGCTGGTTAAGGAGGAGGAAGATTCTGGGATAATATTCCTTAAGCTCATGATTGAAGAAAAAGAATATTATCAAATTTGGCATGCAATTGCCTTAAGTTCCTCATATCAAATTTAATTAAAGTAACAGAGACAACGGATAAGATCTAAAAGCTGAAATAAATCGCTTATGAAGCAATGAAATTACGTATTGAAATATCTGTAAATAACCCATCTTCCATTCCTTCATATACTGAACCTCAAAATTATCAGCAAGATACTAGGAAACGGCTTCTCGGACGAGATTTTGCAGTGCGAAAAGCATCTATTTGAGCACGTTACCAAACATATTACGGCAACATACTCATCAAAATTATGCTAAAAAATTGCCTAGCCTTCAATCCGGTTTCTTAAAAGTTCAAGCAGTCGTCTGTTGCTTGCCTGAACAACTCCTGCACTTGCTTTAATTCCTTTTCCGCAGCTTCCAGTTGTTTTAGTAGTTCTTGGCCTAAGACATCATTTTCAGCCAGAAGTTTGGCAATTCTTTTCAGCTGAGCTTCTTTGCCTCCCTCAGCCACCGGAAGGGCAGCTACCAACGAATCAAACTGCTTGGCAGCCTTGACAAGTCCTGCACTCGTGTTCTTTGGCTGCTCAGCAAGATTAGTAGCATCCTCTGCATTACTAGCAGGAGTAGCAGGAGGTTCTGGAAAATTAGTAGACAACCTAACTGGAGGAGCATCCCTCTGAGTCTGAAGCAACCCAAAGGTATTAAAGGCAAGACCTGCAATTGTATTCACCTGTTCTTGCAGTTGGGATATTATATCCACAAGAATGACCAGGTCCTTGTTAACGGTGCTAGAAGAGTTGCAACTTGCAACAGGATGATGATTACCCATAATTCTGTATGGCTGGATGCTAATTCCAGTTGTATTATCCCACTTTTAGTATTTTTAGCTGCTTTTACATGTCATCTCATGGAGAAATGCAGTACACAGAAGGACATATGGTGGACAAGCAAAATAAATTTTTTTTAAAAAAAATTAAAGTAGGAGGTTAAAGAAGCTTAAACTAAAGAAAGAGCCCAGACTCGGCACTTAGGCTGAGTTCGCTTCATTATTTGATCCATTCGACTACATAAACACATGCACTTAGGCTTGGGCATAATATCTAGACCAGAGCATCAGACCCCCATATTCTGCAGAATCTTTGATGGATGGAAGAAAAGAAATTTAGATCATTGGGTTCAACAAAGCCACTCTCAGCTGACAGAGGCGATGCAGGCAATCCCAAATACATCTTGGGGACGAATATGTTTGCCGCCCACAATCGCTACAATTTCCTTATATTTTCCCAGTTCTCAAAATACTCACAAGATTTATCGTTGTAAAATCGAACCCCAAACATAATCAAAGTAAACATTTTGAAGAGTGGCACTCAGCCATTGATCTGGCCATGGAAAAGCAATATAAAATTTGAATGAGACATGAGAAACGAAATAGATTCAACCCTTAACTAGTTTGCTAGTGTATCTTCTTTAAACTCCATCTTGATAAAGTTTCAGAAGTAAAATGGTGGCAAATAGTTGGTGTAATTAGTGGTATCGTAGTACGTGTTGTGGTTTAAAGTTGATTCAAGCTTGCCTGGCATTGTCAGCAGAGTAAAGATGGTAGCCATCTCCAGGGCCGCCAATTGAAAGTAGCACCTTAACACCTACTAACTCGTAAACTTTAATGAGACAAAAACGCGAGCCTTATAATTCCATACTGGGCTGGTTTTGCAAGTTTCAAGAAGACTACCTTCTTCATCACCATGTGAGCCCTTTGGTATGGCAAGAAGGAAGAAGCTCGTGAAGACGGACAGTATCAGCGATGTTTGATGAGCCATAGTGCATTGTGACTTCGAATTTGAAGTTTTAATTTATGATAGTGGTGAAAATGGCTCAACTTTCCTATTTGAATCCATGAAAAGGGTAGATCAAATGAGATACAAGTATCAAAACCAACTTCAGGAATTCAACCAGTCTTATATGTTGTCCGAGGAATTTCATTCCAGTTATCATCAAAACCAACTTTCTGATGTCGGAATGAATTGAATAGCAACTGAAGAAAAGTGCTCGGTTGTTTTACTGTAAAAGTGGGAATGCTGCGATTCCGTGATAGATAATGCAATCACATACAAACCAAACAAAAAGTGATAAATGAGAGATTTATTCCTCCATAAGACATCCGTTCTGCAAAGAAGCAACAGCATATTTATCTGTCATTGCAATTTTGTACTCAACTCGCCGCGCTTTCTATAACAAAGTACTCTCTCTATAGATCACTTCTGAAGTTACAATGATATCATCATTCACAGATGCTCAGCACATTGTTGCCAGTTAGATTACAAGGAAATGTGCCTGCTTCCCTGATCAATGTCTCAAAGAAAGAAGTCAGGAAGACAAGACACCAAAAAGGTGGGGGAAGTACGAAAACAAATGAATTTGTATACATTTTCAGGACCTGGGCGGCAAATATCAGAAGGATGCCATATACATACAAGACCTCAAATGAAATACATGAAACCTAGGCACCCTTTCTAAACAAAAATGAAACAATGGTAGGGTGAATTTTGAGGCAAAATAATTGTAATATACCAAACTAAACTACTCTTACAGACACTAAGTACACTAAGAGAATGCTACCTTAAGAGCTTGGTTTTCATTGTTGTTGAGTTTGACTTCTCCATTTCTTCTGGTGGAGGCTTTACATATTTTCCTATTGTCTTCTGACGAGTCCTTCTCCGAATTCGAGAAATTTTATCCTTACTTTGTTGCCTCCTCTTTTCTTTCTCTCGATTTCTTAGATTCCTCTCCTTTTCATATACACCTTGCCAGAAAACCTCACCTGTCAATGGCCACAGCCATCGTCTTTTTGGGTGGTCTGAATCTGCCTCCTCAGCTAGGTCCTCATCCATGCTCTTGAGAGTGTTATATTGGAACCACTTGACCCACATTTGACCTCTTCGGTTCTTAAGCCTGTGCAGCTCTTGCATCATGCCGGTCTCTGGATTCACATAAACCATTCGCCTTGCACTATGATAGGCCCAAACATTTACAAGTAACTCAAGCACCCGTGAATAGCAATGTTTGTCCTGCCAAGATGGAAAGAGTGAAGAAACGGTCAATCACCTCATCCCAAAGGAAAGACCAATGATTGAATGAAATCCAATGAAAAAGATGTAATTCTACATGTTGGCAGATTTACTTAAGACCTGGGCTAGGTTTTGCTTCCTTCCTTTCCTTTTTTAATACCCCCAGGGCATGATATCTAAATTGCCCTGGTCCATATGTACATCACCCAAAAGCCTTTATTTTCTCTTGATGCATAAGGAAAGATGATAGCATCTTATACGTGCTGGGATATTTATAGATATTTGGATATCTGGTCTCATTGCCCCTCACCCTTCTTGATGGTTAGAAACCATTTAAATGTCGAGTCTTTGTTCGACGAAATATGTGCCAAATTGTCCTGATGCACAATTTCGGCAAAATAAAACCTTTGGTGACAATATTGACTACACATGACCAACTCATTGTTTCGTCAAGGAAGATGCGCCAACTGGTCACCCAATTCAAACAGTTACAGAAGTCAATGTACACCAAAAAATTAATGTATATGCTTCAATTTCAAGCCCTACTGAAATTAGGTTGGAAATAATGTTGTGCACGAACCAGTTCCTATCACAAGCAGGTTGGAAATTAATGACTGCAAGACTTACTTTTGTTAAACTCAAATAACAATGTCCATTTCGATGGTGCTCCTCATAAAATTGTTCATCAAGCGCATCTACAAACATCCTGCATTTACAAAAGCAATTACATTGGTATATCAATTCCCATACTCAGGAAAGGGAATAGCAGGAAAATGGAAAATAAGAAAGATATTGAATATTGGGTGCATATTAATCATAGAAAATAATTGTTCAAACCTTGAGAACATAACAAACTCCAAAAAGGACCTAGTTGGCAAAATCCAACTATGCATGACAGACCATGTATCTCCATCTGTAGGCATTGGAGGTAGAGAACTCAAGTTATGCTTTACGCCGTACATCTTCTTTAGAGCCTCAGAGAATGCAAACCTTCAAATTGGTACAGAAGTAAGAGAAAATTCAAGTCCATGGAGAGAATCTAGAACAAAAGTACATAAGAAAATTGGCTATGAGTCCTATTGGAGTATTAGGGAACATCAAGTCCCATAAAACATTTTTCTTTTCCTTTCATTATGACAATTACATACTATATCTTTCAAATAGCCAGAAAAGTCCTAAAACTAGTAATAGGAACTGATTGGCTATTGACCCTTCCACGCTTAAATTATCTTTCTTCATATCTTTATGATGATATAAGGGTCTATTTGTTGGAGAATACAGGTCCAGTAATTGGAAACCAGCCTTGTGCATTCAAGAGAACAATTTGTGCTATAAAATCAGCAATTGACGTTCAAAGGATGTGGAAGAGAAAAATTATCAACCTTATATATGTAGATTTAACCCTATGCTAAATCATCAACCTTAATTTTTAAAGACAAAATAGAAGGAAAGGCTGCATAGACTTAAGATGCTTACCACTTGACGTGTTTCAATATCTATGTGCGTAGTATGTATTATGTGTAGTCAGTTTGCACGTCTATATGCACGTGTTTATGTAACGTGAATATATATATATATATATATATATTCATGGAAGAGAAGCTACTAAGAAGCAGCCTTACCGGCAATTCCCAGCATTTATAGCATCACAAAATGTCCAAAAATCATGTTTCAGAGGGTTTCTCGGATCCATGTCCATGCAAGCCCAAAAGTACAGTGCATCACCATGTCTTCGAGTTTGGATGGCATCTAACAGTGAAATTTCTGCAGTCCTTGACAGAGATTCCTGTGAAGCCTGTTCTAAGTACTCAAGCACAAGATGGAAAGACCATATATTGTACTCATTATAGTATAGGAAAACAATGACAGGAAATCAGGTTGACTGCAGAATTCAGATTTTCTTTTCTTTTCTATTTTTGTTTTTGGAATTTCATTAATACATTACCGAACACACTAACAAAGATATACAAATTCAATTTTGAACTTAGTAACAGAAATAAGATGCAACCAAAGAACAGAAATCAATTTCGGTGAAATTTAAGGGTTTTTGCATGTCCGACACTAGATGAGTAGATTGTAATTATTGAGATGCAAGCTCCAACAAGTTACTGAAGCACTGTAAGGCGATCGAATCAACTTCATTTCATGTATCTAAAGAAAAGAAGATAAGAGTAGTTTCGGAAAGCTATAGCTGCCTACCAGATATTGAATAATCAAATTTCATCCACCATGTTAAGATATAATCAAATCCTGATTGCAGCTATAGTGGAACAGACTTCTTCAACATTTTAACAACCAAATTAATTTCATTCACCATGTTAAGATATAGTTGCACGTCAAGAAACAGAGAGGACTGTAGAGATCACTTTTGAAGAATTAGTATCCAAAACTGTTCCATCAGCAAGCAAATGAACCCCTTTCCTAAAAGATTGACGAAATAAGACACCATGAGACATTCAAATGGACTATCATCAAGAAGACAGAATCAGAATCAAGAAAGTACCTTCCTTGCAGTTACTCTCCAAGACTGGAAGCCTATCCAAGCATTTTTATGTAGGCGATCAATCCGGTTTGCAATTGCAAAATAGGCTCCATATTCACCAAGCACATCTCGATAATACGGGTTATGTAGAAGAGGAAGCCGAGAAGGTGCATCAACATCATCAGCCCCGCTTCGCCGACCTCTAGTAGACTACAATCATCAATTCCATGTGTCAAATCAGATATGAAAAATTAGTGTCCATTATATAACAAATTAGGCAGCATACTACTCACAATACCTCCCAAGTTCTAAAACATTTAACCTAAAGCTGATTAACAA